AAATCTTTGTTCCTCTGTGGTAGGCACGCTAAGACATTACATTTTAAGGTTGAATTGTCACTGAATTAAAACATCAAAAAGTAGTCTTGGTGAAACCCGCCATGTACATGTAGGCCGTCTATTCTTACGAAGTACATGTATGCAGACTTGACTGTGATGCTCCTTCTTCTGTCAGGGATGCGTCCAGACTTTGTCAGGTCAGCGAAGTTGGTACAGCAGTATTATGAAATACACTAGTTGTGGGAAACAATTTAACAAGGGATGTAGGTAGGGAGGGGTGGTTAAACATCATGCATTGCTTTGGGACACAAACTGACACTGAACATGTACATGTATGCACAGTGTAAGCTTGTAATAATGTAGTAGGTGCAGAGTAGGTGTACTGTACCCTACCTCCCTACAGTGTAGGGTAACACGTAGTAAATACAGTCCAGTCTCATTACAGTTTTCTGATAGGGACCAGACTTATTTGAACATTATCAGCCTTGAGCAGAAGTATCCCCACATCAGGTGAAAAGAGCCATGTTGGTGAGGAGTGTTCATTTTGTTGGTAGTGACATGACTGTATTGCGTGCATTTTATACTCATTTGTAATGTAAACCAGGGAAGTGCAGTTCCCACTGAAGGAGCCCCCCTTGCTATGAAAATTGCGCCCTCTATTGGTTCAGCATTTTACAACTGTATAAACGCACAATTTCTATTGTACAGTGTACATCTGTAACATGCAATATAATCTGAAGTAATAAGGCTATACACTTTGTCTAATGTACTGCTAATGTGTACAAGTCGTCTAAAATTGTATTGTAAATATTGGAGGGCGTGGAAAGATAAAGGAGAAACAGTTGTCCTCCATAAATTTCTCCCAACATAAATCAACCTACACGGCGGCCACAGTCAATGTGGGGGAAGCACACAAGCTGTGGTCAAAGTGGTCAAATGTGTGCATCAGATTTCTCCGGTCACTGTGACCTGGAGCTAGGGTACATTACATGTACATTAAACCATGTAATGCACGACCAGCCACACCGCACTGTCACCAAACTGAGTCCTCATTATGTACAGCATTAGGGGGCACTTGTAAAGCCAGGCACTTGGCTGTAAAACAATGAAAAGTACTGTTGAGTGAAACAATAAAAAATGAAATACCAAAAATATTTCCCCCAAAATGATGGTTTTGTTCATGGTTTTAGGGGTGTCAATGATGAGGCGATAACAGGTTGAGTGCATTCTATGCATCTGGATGAGTTTAGGATTTGTTGTAAGATTACAAAGCAAGTTGTTTTCTGGAATCAGTTTAATATGCCAGGTTGAGATACATGTAGCTACAGTGTGAAAAGCTTAACTAATCCTGGAACATGTGCATATAAAGTTGGAAGATTGTAAATTGAAACTAGGATTAGGATTTTTGCACACCCCCATTTAAAGAGTGGAACAGTTAGGAACAAAGGCCACAATTAGAATTAAGACATGTAAAGAGAAAGCAATAGCATCTCTGTGTGTGAATGGTTTAACCCAGAGAGTGAGATACAGTGAAATCACTGCAGATATACATGTACATACAGTATTCCTCTACCTGAAGATCAGATTTGATCTTTGAAAAGAATCAGGACCATTGCTTTATTTACAATTGGGATACCTCAAATTTTGATTGATTTCGCTTAGATTTGGCTGTCGTGAGAGTTTACTGTAGCTTATTTGAAAATCATTTAATATTCTTTTATCTACCTAAAGGAGATTGGCAGAAGTTATCAATGAGCAGAAGATTGAACGCACACGTAAGTGAGATGTACTCATTTTTCACAGTACTTTTTTCTTGTTTGAGTAAAAATTCCTTTTCAGGTAGTGTTTTTTATTTTACAATAATTGATTTTGTTTGAAACAGGTAACATTTATTGCTGACCGATTTACAGTCTGTTATGGTAGATTCCCGTTATAGTGCTCGCAGAGGGAACAAACTTATTTGAACATTACATCCGTGCAGAGCTATGACCAATGCACTGCTGCAGGCACTGTGCACCTTTCAATTGCATCATTCAGCCATACTCATCAAGTGGTTTACACATGCACATGCCATCTACAATTGTGTGAATTTGTACAAGATAGATTTAGGAAGATGAGGGTGCGTGGAGTTAAATCAAACAGTAATTCTGATTGATAATACACAGACTGCATTCTGCTGCCCCCAAACTTGAAGTACGTGTACATGTAACTTGCATGGGTGCATTCATTGTAGTGGACACACCCACGCAAAGTGAAGTACATGTAGATATGCCACAATGGTTCTTATGAGAAATAACGAGATCAACACATGAAGTTGGTGTTCAGTACATGTGCATTGACGACCCAATAACGATATTGGACAATATTTCAGTGAGTTAGTTCACAGAATTTCATTCCTCTTTATGCAGTTATTTTTCGCTGTCATGTATTTATTTTGGGGTCTCTGTGCGCATATTTTGAGTGGTCTAGTGTGGTGTGATTTTCTGTTGGATCATTGCTAGGTTTATGCAGTGATGGCCAGTCAGTGTAGGCACTTCATTCATGCTGGTGTAGCACTGCACCCAGCAAAAAATTCATGTTGAAATTTGGAAGCATTTTAAGAGAAACCACTGTCCATGTATTTATTGTGTTTCTGGGACACAGTAATTTGAGCAATGTATCCAAAAAAGAGGATGTAAATGAGAGCATTGTAACCTAAATGAAATGTACATTAATGCCATTAAGATGATGGACATAAACATGGTTGTTTTCACTGTTTAAAACTTATAAAAAGCTACAGTGCTTATTTGTTTAACACACAGAAAAAAGAATGTCATGCATCAAAATACTTACTCCAAAATAGTAATGTGAAACATTCTTATTTGTAATGATTACATTTGTAATGGTTATGCTTCTATTTATTGTATTCTGTTTTCTTACAGTGTTTTGCAAATATAGGATTTTGTCCACTTCAAATGTTAAGCTTAGTGAATATAGAAAGTCAGTTTGATTGTGTAAACATGCACTGCCTTACATTTACACAGAAATAGTCAGGTTGTTCCATAATGGCATTGATTGAAAGATTGCTAAAAGCTTAGCAGTCAGATACTGATTGGTGAACAAAAACGAAAGATGAATGCAAATGATGCTTGGGATATCAATGGCGTCTAAATGATCAGTTGTGCACAATGCCCACTGCTCTGACAGGAAACTATACATGTACATGTAAGTGATGTGTATCATGTACGTGATGTGTGTGCGTCATTACAGCCCCAAAATACTAAGCAATATTAGATCAAGACACTGATAACTTGATACATGTATGTGCATAGTCATTGGAGTGTGGAGTGGGTATGTACAAAATATCTTTAGACGGTGCAAATATATTTTCAAGTCACAGCAAAAATGTGCTTCAAAATGTGTGTTTGTGTTGAATGTTGAACTTTGAGTTGCCCAAAGCATCTGTTGTCATTCCTGATTTACCATCTGTCAAGGTTTATACACGTAGTTTGCCTTTCTTTAAATCCTCTCAGCCTGATGAGTGTCATCTCTCTGTCATGTGCCATCTTTCTGGTATTTCTCAAGCTGTCAGTCTGTCATCAATTTGTTAATTGTCTTTCTCTTACATGTACACCGTTCGTGGTTGTCTCATCTGTGTTTAGCATTCATGCTGACATTGAATTGAATGTAATTAATCTCTGGATGGTTTCTGCAGGTCATGAGGAAGCACTAGGTGTCATCACAGAGAAAATGTCTCAACCGTCGCCTCAAGTTGTCACATTACGGACAGAGCTGCAAAAGGCAAAGAGCTTGTTAGATCAAGAGAGGAATTTATTACAGCATAAAGAGGCTCAACATCGCGCCACTCTACAAGAGGAGGTATGTATGTTGTAACAGATATCAGGCACTTAACTGGGTACCAAGATTCCCTAGGAACAGTATGTATAGTGAAAGAGGGTACCAGTTAACAGTTGTTGCCGGCAGTGACAATTTGTGACACCAAGTTATAAAATAACCACAATGTCATTTCCAAAGTCATCGTAGGGAGATTTATGGTAACTGCGTCAGCGTATAGGTACATGTTATGATACACATCGTAATAATGACTTAACTTCAAAAGAAATCGGGACCTTCTTTCAACTCGAATTTCGGATAACTCAATTTTTGTGTCCATTCTCCAGAGATTTGAGGTATTGAAATTTTACTGTATTTCATTGCAAAAAAATTAAAGCACTTCGACAGATTGAAACAGATGAACAGTAAATTAGATATAAATTTCAAGGAAAATGATTGATTGTGATGTCCTTTTTGGCGAGCTGCAAAGCAAATGGGAGCCTATGTAATATCGACATGACACATCAGCTCTGGGAAATATCACCATGATCCCAAAATAATACAATTTTCCCTGAAATGACAAAGTTTTTTCCATTGCTTGCTGTGATGTGGTGAAAGCCCATGGGACATCAGGTGCAGGAAATCATTTTGCTGGTTTCCACAGCTAGATTCATGAACAGCAATGGAAAAGCCGCTGGCACGGGACCCACATGTACATGAACTTGTAAACAATTCATTGTATACATGTCTACATTCAACAAGTGTTGCCCAACATTCTAAACAATCCAAACTATCACAGTGATGTCACAGAATTGATGTTTCCTTTGTTTATTTAATTTGGACATATTCATTTTGAGGTCAAATTTCCTCATCTTACATCCTCATCGTTACTTGTCTGCATGCCTACATTGATGAACCTTGTGATACATAAACCATGTTGGCTGTTGTTCCTTCAAGAACTCTTCTGGCTTCAATTCAATCTCACTTCTGAGTCATTTTGGCCAGTCTAAATTCCTTTTAACTCAAATCAGTTTGGCTTGGCTTTTATGAAATAAAGGAATTTAGCTGCAATTCAGAAGCATATGTACACATGTACATATGTATGCAAACATTACATGTATATATAAAACAAATCAGGAGCCAAAGGTTGTGCTTGGTATTGCTGAATGTTGAGTGATAGTTACAGTGGTGTACCATTGAACATGATACCATAGAACAAAGAAACAGATGACAACTTGTTCATTTCTTGAAAAAGAAGATGCTTTTAACTGAGCCACGACTTCCTTGCTGAAAAGGAAATACACCTTGACTAAAATAGCCATACTGGTACATATAGACACCCCTATCATTTTGTTCTAAATGACTCGTTGTACATTAAGACGGAAGTCAAATCTGATGCAGAACAATGTGTTAGAATTTGTTACTAATTTATTTCATGTTATTATTTCTAATGCCTGTATCCTGAGCCTGTTCACTTCCAAAAGGAAAATGCCTAACACATTTAGTATTGCAGGATACATGTACCAGTATATCGGTAGAGATGCCAAACAATTTCAATTTTTGAAAACATTTTAACTGTAAAGATGTGTCTAGTAATAGTATCTTTTTTTATTTGCACACTACTTGACAATACTATTTCTCGGTTAAATGGGGAAATAGTTGAGGGGGACTTTCTGGCACACTTTGACCTTTTTCTAAAGCAATGTGAAAAGGTCATGTATAACTTATGAATATGAATATGAGGTTAGGGTAAAAATTTTGGTACACCTGAAGGGCTGTGTCTAATATCTGAATAACCAAATATTCGATTGATTATCGATTTGAAGGTCCAATATTCAAATAGCGAATTATTCAAATTAACTCAGCCTGACACACCTGCTATTTCTCTTACCAAAGTACAGGTTGCAAAACAAATGAAAAGACATGCATCTTAGCCTTGATGGACATGCTGAAAGTGTGTCATCTTTACTGCTGAATTCAGCCCCAAAACCCTCTCGTACTTGTTTTTCCTGCATCTGGGTATAGAAATCTGTCCTGGATCTCCACATTTCAAATTAATTTCATGTGAAAGAGTTTAATGCCAATATAGTTTGAAATATGATGTCAGTACAATTTAACTCTGACAGTTTTCTTTTTTCTTTGTCTACTTCCTAAGCGCCCATTGCCATAAAAAGCAGGTCTTGAAATGTTAGAATTACAACCTACAAGCTTATTTTACTCACTTTTTAATCACCATCTTTGGAAATATATTTCTTGAAGTATGGAATTTTGGGTTGACCTCAAAAACTATTTTTGTCATGTTTTTGCCTCGTTACCATAGCGATGCTCATTTCAAGTGTTTCCTTTTGGATCATGGTCAATATAATGTCCATGGCATTTTAATTCATTCAGTACATGTATTTCATTGTAGGTTTTTTAAGTACAATTTCAGACTTAGCACTGGCTTTTTTTGAGTGGGTGGGGGGGGTTGATTATTCCATCAGCAACTTTGCAAATTTAAAAATACGATTTGATGGGAACATCATTTTAAAGTGTCAATTATAAATTTCCCATACCATCTGAGATCATAAGTTTTGTTTTCAACTGTTGTGATTAAATAAAAATAATTGCACCAACACATTTATTATTTGATGTAAGTTGAGTAACCGGTTTCCGTATCATTGTTTAGAGTGTTAAAATATGTTGCTACACTGTGCTGGTATTATGCAAAAGAGTCTTTTGTGACACAATTTGAAATTAAGCTGATTTTGTTGATGTAGAAGATTCAGTTACATCAAGAAGTCTGAAGATCATCAATAGATTTGTAAATTCAACAGATTAAATTCATTATTTTTATTTGCATGTATGGAGGTGATTTTCATTCAAGGAGATTTTGAGTTAGTGTGGTCTAAGAATACTAATCAGTGCTTTTTTTCCGTTGACCTTTTAGCGTGATCGTAACAATGAGCTGAAGAGACAATTAGAAGAGCAAGGAAATCAGATGAGAGAGATGAAGAGTCAGATAGATGATTTGAGACAGACACTAAGGCAGACACAGATGGCTTTGAGTAATGAGGTTTATCGAAAGACTTCCACTGCACTAGTAGCCCATGCTTCAAGGTGAGCCAATGGCTTTGTCATACTCAAAGTGTGTGTACAGACTTAGGATTGTGACTGCTGTCCAGAAGAATTCATATGAGCCACTTGTAATGAACAGATAATAATTAGGCAAACAGCATTTTATTTTGTATTCATCACATGCTGTGATTTATTATGTGTGTGTTTTTGTTGAATGTTTCCTCACAGATTTGATTGCTGTATTCTTTGCACATTGCATAGATCATTGTGGTCTAACAGGTTGTTAAGTAGAATGGATTCTTGCATGAGCTTTATTAGAATTCTGTGCATTATGAAGGCAGTATCATACATGTATGCTTACTGTATGTACTCACAGACAAGAAAGCACCAAGTACGTGCACAAATAGTGCATAGTGCTTGTAACCATGTTAAGACTGATCACGCACTTGCATCTGTTTGTTACAAATTCACATTTACCATACAATTTCATGCAATATAGAAATGAGGATAAAATGTTCTTTTCTTTAAAGGTTGTGCCTTCTTACTGTGCTCTGAAAAGATTACTGCTATAGGACATGTCTTGTCTAGAAACTTCATGAAAAATGTGCATCTGCTCATCCTAGAAACCCGAGTGGATGGACCTGCGTAATGCACTATTCTAACCCAACGCAGTATGCTGTTTTGACACAAAATGCAATACAAACATCTGGAAAATTTACTGTAAATTCAGAGGCAGGCGTGTTCGTGCGCCCCCGTAACATCTTTACTGCACATCAAGTTTGCATGAGTATAAATTTTGTTATCTTGTTTGTACTTGTGGAATACAGAATTATGTAGCGTGTCTGTGTCCCGCATACCACTCGGGTATACCACTCTGCCTTTGGCCAATTGGTATACAGGACACACATGCACTACACTATTCCCTATTCCACCTGTTCTCATGTGATAACTAATTGGACAGTGGCTATTAATGTTTCTTCTGACCATGAAAATGTAACTTTCTTTTGTTACCATTCAATGCCCAGGTCTCCCACCTCTGTAGGTGAACATCCTGAACATGACCATGTGGATCATTACATAGATACATCTCTGCGGCAAACACGTATACAACAACATCTCCTATTGGCTGATCAGGGAGGTTTTGATAGTGACCACAGTGACCTTTCACCTAATGCTTCTTTAGCATTTCTAGAAGATACTAAGGCAAGATTCCAGCAGCTGGAAAAAGAAGCTGAGGTAGGAATACCTTGTCTGTAGAGATCAGCCATTGGTTAAAGCCTGGTTCATGCATGGAAGTGAATGGATGAAAATAAACTCACTTGTGATGA